TTTGACCCTTACATTTTAGCTTTACCTTTCTTTGTCCCCTGAATGACCGGCATAATTCATCTGATTATCTATTATCTTGTTATTGGACATAAATTTTACAAGCTGTTGAGAGTGCGGAAAATCAATACCTTTTAAATGCTGTTTATGTGTGATTAACGGTTAATATCCTCACAAATTATTTAATGTAATAAGGTCATTTATCTTTTGCATGGGCTTGGTATCCTGCAAAGAATAATAGAATAATAAATGAGGACACTGGTAAAGAGGATATTTCAGATGCTTTTCTGTGCCAGTTTTATTACCCATATCCTCTTTACAGCCACAAAGCTGCACTATGGTTATTTTATGCAAGTAATAAAATTAGCCTGAGATGGAATTAGCAGACTCGGGGCTCTTTATAGGTCAAGTCGGTGCTTTATGAGCCTGCGACTCCCTAGTGCTATCGTCATGAGGCTAGTTAGAGGGGTCTTTAAGCATGATTTAATATGTCCATGCTTCAGAAAATAGTTAAATAGCTAATTAAATGGAGGAGTTAATTTACATATTAATTGACCTTCCAGTAATATTTATATTGATACCTACATGAGAAGCCCTTGTCTTCATTGCCTTTCATCATAGTTAGTCTGAGCAAATATGGTGGAACTTTTTTGTTTAAACGGAAGTTTCTCTTTATTGTCACAGGAGAGTTGTTGTATTCCCTTGAATAGCATAGTACATCTGGCCTCAAGTTTATGCATTCGCGGAAGCCTTTTGTTGTAGAATAATTAGGAACCACAGTCAAATATGCAAAGGCTGGTGTGTGCGGAGTGTGCACATCTCGGTGTGTGTCTATGCGTGTGTGTGTGTGTGTTTAAATTCTTGGATCTGTGCCTGAATAAAAGCTGGTGATAATTATGATAATCATGGTTCTTCAGTCTAGAAGTCCTGTGGGAGATAATATTGTGGCCATGTGTAGAAATTAGCATAACATTTTACCTGCAGTTATGAGGGAATATTATCAACTCAAAGCCTTCAAGTAGTAAAAGAATGGCTTATGAAGGTAAAAAGCACCAGAGAGGTATAGGTTTAACAAATACAGTTGAAGTAAGCAGCTGTGTGCAGAGACTTTTGATTTCCACACAGCACAATGTATCATAAGAGGCTATTGCTATCTGCCCATTTACCTCTTTGTCTTTAATAAGTGAATCATCTTTAATAACTGAGGAGTGTTTTAATGTACTAAGCCTGCTGCTTTCGTGTGTGGCATATATATTTACAATACAAATACATCTGTACTATTTTTGCCTTGCATTGCTGAGTTCAGCATGTGTTTTATTATGCTTGGCCCCAAATCTGGAAAACACGCAATGCTTTGGGAGCAGATAAGATTTCCATTTGATCCTGCTTTATTTCGGCTCCTCTGTTTTATTGTATGTTTCTTGGTGGCAGAGGGTTATGGAATCAAGACAAGGGTGGAAGACCTGGGAGATATCTGCTATGCACAGACAATTACAATGGGCTCAAAACCCCAGAACATTTACCTTTTCCAACTGAATGACTCTATAAAATGGACACCTGCCATGTTCCTAGCATGAATCATTGTACTTAGAGGCACACACAAGTGGAGAGCAGTCACGGCTAGTTGGCCACTGATGTATCAGATACAATGTCTGTACAGGGTTCAGTGCCTGAGCCAAATGTTAAAGTTATTTGTTCTTGTCAATAAACTAAACTTTACTGTGACCCTATATTTTTATTATGCCACATGTATTTTAAGATAGGGTATTATTGCCTCAACTTCCAGTGAGTCTTGTAATGTTGCTACAAAGTCGTGGGAAGCAAATATTCTTGGCACTTGTACCACAAGCCTTCCATTATACAACATAGCGTTTTTAGCTGCTGCTCCTATAAGTAATGTCCTTTTTCTCTTGTACATAGAGTATTCTGTCCTATATGCCAGCTATAAATAGTTGTTCTTATTCCTTTTTTTCACATTAAAATGTTGTTGTAGGGCAGAATAAAGCATATCACAGGGCGAATTCAGAATGCTCTGGTATATTATTATTTATGCATGTCATTATTTTGCCCATCATTACACACACAGAAGAAAATGGGCCCGACCTCATGGAGGTTGCAATCAATAAATATGAATATAATAAAATATAAATATAATATAATTAATTAATTAATTAAATTAATATAAATCAAAATGATTTCCCATGCAGAGATCTCCAAGCACCTTACAAATGTCCAATAAACCATCATACCCATTTTACTGAAGGAAAATTGAGGCACCGAGAAGTTATGTGACCTCTCTAAGATCTAGGAACAGAAACTGGGTTTTGTGGTTCCCAATTCTGTTTGCCATTTTCAGCCATCTTAAGAATTAAAGACTCCATTCCACTCTTGTTTAAGTCAGTGGATGTTTGGCACTGATTTTATTGAGCCATGGATTGGGCTCCATGTGGGAGAATGGGAATAATAGGAGGTGGGGTCGTCAATGGTAAACTAAGTAAAATAAATATAGGAAGGATGGTTCAGTGGTTAAGGTGCTAAACTGAAGTTTGGCAGACCCATGTTTGTCACATACTTCCTTGGAACTTGGGCAAGTAACTTCGTTTTTCTCTCTGTTTGTTTTTCCATCTATAATTGGGTGGGAAGGGAAGGAGCAGTCTTACATGGATAGTCCTAAGCACCCTAGTCTCACAGAGATATTGTAAGGATAAATACTGATAGGCACACAGATAAAAGGGGGCCCAAATAATTATATTTAATTGACAAAATATCCTAATGTTTTCGATATATGTATATTTGTAAAATAAATATAATGCATCATCTTGCTCCACCCCAAGTGTGACAATGGAACAGCCCACTGGACACTTTGTGCAACAATATTCCTTTCGCCGTGTGACGGGATACAGTCACAGAAGACCCCTTGAGGGTGCTTCCTGGAGTGCTGACAAAGCCACTGATGCCTCCCCTTGCTCTCTGGGGCTTCTCTGTCCAACTGTGCCGAATCTCCTGGTCTCTTCCAGCCAAGGCACAGAGCAGAGATTACTACCCTCTAAAAAGCAGTGTGGACACTGAGTCTATTCAGGTCTGAGGAGAATGTAGTTTCAACTTCTGAGAACCCACTCCCCAGATTGGATCAGAACCCCAAATAAATCATTCAGGTAAGCCCCTTTAACAATGACAGGAGGATGTACACACTGATTGCTCCCCCAGGTAACAATTATTTACACTGGGCTGGTAAATAAAAGTGATTTTATTAAGTACAGACAGTAGGATCTAAGTGGTTGTAAGTAAAAACAGGCAGAGCAAAGTAGATTACAAATTTAAAGTAACAGAAAATGCATAACTTGTTCTAACACTAAAAGCTCATTACAGACTGTGGCGGCGCGTTGGGGTTTTCCCGTCTCCTGCACCACCGTAATGGCATAAACAGACTCCACCAGCCAGTAGAACAGAGGGAGTTCATCGCCTCTCCAGGACATAGCACAGCATACATGCAATCTGGCTACAGGGCAGGCCCAGGATGCTCCAGCCCCCCCTTGAGATGGGGGAGACTGGGCCCCTAAATTCCAGCCCCTTTCCCTAGGCTGCCTCCTCCATGCTCCCAGACAGAAACTAACTCTCTTCCAGCCCTGCCCCCCAGCCTGGGGCTGCATTCCACCTTCCTTTGTTTCTCTCCCTGGGGGTAGCCTGCCAGACATGCTGAGAGACCCCCGCCCAGTGACTCATCCCCTGTCCCTCTGGGCCGCGCCACAGGCAGCAGCCAGCGGGGGTCACCCAAAGCCCCAGCATAGCAACCAGCAAGGCACCAACACTACATCACACAAATTTACCCTAAAACTGCTCTTATTTCAGCTAAATCTCCAAGCCAGGGAAGATGCTTCCCCCCGGGGTCTCTGGTTCATTTCTTAGGAGGGACAAGCCAGACAAAGACAAAGGTCAGCTCATTTCCCATTGTTTTATAGATTTCACTTTGGGTGGGATCTTGGAGTTCTCTCTCTGACTTTCTATGGAAAATTATCTGGTCAGACCCTACCAGATGAGGTGGCCACATGACTTCCTAAAACCAACCACTGCTTAGACTCAAAGTACAAAAGAGGCTGTTTACAAGTGATCACCCAGACATTGGGGGGAACCCTTGGTGGCGTTCATTTACACATTTAAAACCATAAACCATACTCCAAATTTCTAACTTTGCATACAAGAATGGTACATACACCAAAATAAGATATACAGATCCAGCAGGTTGCAACATTGAGATTGATAGGTTACATGAGGTATTTTGTCCAAAGCATCTTTGAGTTATACATATTTGTGTCCATAAATCAATGTCATAAAGCATGGTGCAGAGGGGGGAGACAGGGGAAAGGGAGAGAAACCATTATGCGCTGTGTTTCAAGACATTCAAATAACTGAGTAACCCAATGAGCTCAACATTCCTGAATATTATAGGCAGGGCTGATAGGATGGCCTGTCAGCAACAGAATTGGGTTTGTTTAGTCTGGAAAAGAGAAGACCCAGTGTGCATCTCCACTGTAGGGCTTAACTCAAAATAAGCTATGCAAACTGAGCTACATCAGTTACGTATTTTATTTCATAATACCTTATTTTGAAATAGGGAACATCTACACAGCACTTATTTTGAAATATAGCACTCTTCCGACTTCCGTTATCCCTCATACACTGTGGCTACGTCTACAGGTTATAGGAGTCAGAATAAGAAGTCCTCCTGCTTGACAGTATTTTGACGCTATTTTGAAATAACTACAGGCTGTGTTGACGTGGACTAAATTATTTCAGAATAGCACTAGTTATTTCGAAATAACTAGTGCTATTCTGAAATAATTTAGTCCACGTCAACACAGCCTGTAGTTATTTCAAAATAGCGTCAAAATACTGTCAAGCAGGAGGACTTCTTATTCTGACTCCTATAACCTGGAGGCTACGTCTACACTGGCCCCTTTTCCGGAAGGGGCAT